GGGAGACGTGGAGGCCACGGCGAGGACGGGCAGCCCCGGGGGCTCCCGGGCATGGCGGGAGCCGGGACGAGGCCCTGTCCCGCACGGAGCCTCGTGCCGGGATGCGCCGCCCGGCTCGGTGCCGCGGGCAGCCGCAGGACCCGGCCACTACAGCCCGCTCTGCCGGGCGGGAGGTTAATGACCGCGACCAGAAACATCCCCGGGAAAAACGCGAGCCCCAGATATCAGCAATTAACAGCAATTGCCACAATTAATAGCATCCCACACCCCGCTAATCGCCAYGCGGCGGGASGGAGCCGCCGCGAGGGGCTGGAGCGGCTCCTCGGAGCGCCCGGCAGCGCCGCCGGGACACGTGGATAACRGGGCAGCTCCAAAGGGAGGCTCCTGCCAGGGTCAGCACGGAGCGTTCCCAAATCCCTGACGTTCGGAGCCCTGCACGGAGCGGGACGAGCGGTTGCTCCTCRCTCGGGGGAGCTCCAGCAGCCCGGGCGAGGCGGGGAAGGGCTGCGGTGCCAGCAGGAACCAAACCAAACGCCGGGATAGGACTGCAGGACGAACGGACTCGCATCATTCATAAAGGGAGCGCCCAGCGGCTGGAAAGGGATCGTGCGGGCGCTGCATCCAAAGGCCCCTTCGGGAGCGCGCGGCCGGCGCCGCCGGAGCCCTCGGGCCCCGTGCCCATTGCGGGCCTGGATCCACGGCCACCAGCCCCGCTCGCTCCCATGTCCACAGAGGGCCTTCAAAGGGATTCGGCCGCGATCGCCATGGATACCCCTCTGACATGCCTCCGTTGCCATGGCAACACTTCCCGCATCTCGCCTCGTTATCCCGAGCTAGGGGCTCGGGATAGGAAGGGCAGGAAGGGACGAGCGCTCCAACGCCGGTGGCAGCCACAACCTGGATGCTCCAGAGCCCCGGCAAGGCCACCAATTCCGACAGTTCCTTGGGAATGTCCACGATGACCCCGGGGTCTCCAGGAGATGGGAGCAAAGGCACCCAGGGCTCCGGAGAAGGGAGCCCGCTGGGGAGCGGGAGGCGCGCGGAGCTCTCGGCACCCAAGTCCCGCAGAGGTCTCGTGTTTTCCCAAAGCTCCCACAAAACCCACAGCGATTAGAGCAGCTCTTGGCTGCGCTMAGCGAGCGCCGGGCTGGGAGCACCAGGAGGGAGTCCGAGGATGCCGGAGCAGCAGGGAAACGCGCCCAGCGGCAGCGCTGCATGCACCGCGCGGCATCCCAGGAGACTCCCATTCCCGCGGGAATGGCCGGATGCTCCACCTAGGGATCCCCGGAGCAGCCGCCTCGCCTGCAAGGGCTCTACCCTCTGCGGGCATCCGGGGAGCAAAAGGAGAAACGAGAGCTCAAACAGCCCCATAAACCCTCCCYGCAGCCCTCACCTCCCCTTAGAGATCATTCTATTTATGAATACACATCAGGCTGTTGCAGATCTCTACAATTAAACATCCCAAACAGGAAAAAAAGCTCAAGACTAAATAAAAAGAGCAGAAGGAATCACAGCAACCGTCTAAATTTCCAGCACAAGAGGCACCAGGGAATTTCACCTCCTCCCATTTCACACACAAGGATACAAATAAGGAAGCTGAGCAAAGCACTGGGGTGACGGCAGTAAATATCCTGCCTTGATTAGGGAACACACATATTTATTAGCCAACACGGATTCAGGAAAGGCAGGGAACTGTGAAGATGATGTGCACTAAAAATACAGCAGCACCTCCGGTACTTGGAGCCACTCCTGGGCTCTTTTCAAGTCAAGTGTTTTGATCTGTGTGTTGTTATTCCGAGTCTTTCTCCACGGGGAAAACATGGAGCAACCGGCGCATTAGGAATCCTTTGAAGGTAACATCTTTCCTAGCCCTTACAAAGGAGAAATGGAGACACATACACCTGGTTTTCAYGCACTGACTGCAGGCAAAGGAGGACCTCAAGCACACGAAGCACAAGCACGAGGTAGTGGGCTCAAAAAGAGCCAAAAGAGGAAAAATGATCACTTCTGCATTAGCAAAGAGGCTGCCTGAAGGACACCTGCAGTTTCCCTCCCCAGCCAGGCTTAGGGGTCCCCTCTGCTCCATCCATCCTGSTGGGTGGCTTCAGGAGCCACCACACCTCATTCCCGAGCGCATCCGTGCTAGGGACAAGCCACCCCCGTGCCAAGGCCTCACGGAGACACAAACTCGTCCTCAAGCAGCAGCAGGCGCCAGGTTTGCACCAGGAGCCAGCAGGTTCAGAGCACCAGGAGGCACCTCCGGCCCCAGGAGCAGCAGGAGAGCGAGGGAGGCTCCGAAGGGGACCCCTCTGAAGGGGCCTCTGTAGCGCCGAAGGGAAAAACATTCCCATTTTGAGGGAAGTCCTTGGATTTGGCTCTCAGAATGGCTCAAAAGGGGCTTTTGCATCAATTGCCTGTGCAGGGCAATGGATGCAAATGGTCAGACACACTCAAGGTGTGCGAGGAGGACTCCAGTCTCGCTCCCTTAGAGCCGAGCTCTCCCACACATCCCCGCTGGAATCCAGCCTCACACCAGCCCCAGGGCCTCGCTGTCCTCCCGGCCTCTCGGGACACGATCTCAGCGCGTGCCCCGAGCCCAGCTCCTTCCACAGCACACTGGTTGCTCCGTGGTCACTCACAGCGCTGCTGCGCTCGCTCATGTAATAAACAGCTTTTATTTCCCGCAGGGAGCAGGCTGGAGCACCGGCCTTTGGGCCACGCCGCTGCCGCGCGCAGGAGCCCGGGCAGAGCTCACACGCAGCTGAGCCTCGCCTTGAATTAAACACTCACCGTAATTCAGGGATGCCAACCCCCTGCCTCGGCTTTCAGCTTCCCGGGAAGCGGCAACCGCAGCGCCGAGCCTCGAGAGAAAGAAAAGGCAACAATTGGGGTTAAAAAAGAAAAAGCAACAATTGGGCTTAGAGAAAGAAAAAGCARCAATTGGGCTTAAAATTAAATTGGGCTTAGAAAACCCCAATTCCAAGAGCGGAGAAGCACGGAAGCCCTGGGCAGCTCCCAACACTGATCTACCCTTCAAGGGTAGATTCCGCCCACAAACACCCCCATTTTTACCATTTTTTTCTGGCTAGAAGTTAAGAAACAGAGCAACCGAGAAACCACCTTAAGAAAATGATTTTTATTTCCTTTTTAAGTTTCGATGTTTACAGTTATGCTTTTATTTCTGATAGTAGAGCTTCGCAGCGATAAAAATCACAATGCAGCTAGCAGAGCAGCTGAACTAAGACCCATAAATACCAGCACAGAAAACAATGGACAACTACCAATATTTCTATACAGGAACTATCATTTTAATGTCACATTTTGACAATTGGAAATGGTCTGCAGAATGTATGTGGGCAAAAGGCAATAAGTGAGTCTTTTGAAACACTAGATGTATAATAAACAGCGCATTATCAACATTTACATGATTCACATCAAATTGATGACATCCTAAAAGTATTCCTTTTAAAGGATAGAGATTTTTCAATAAAATATTACATTTCATTTAATACTCTGGTACAATACTTCATACATTGCAGGAAAAAAAAAATAAATGCAAGGTCTACTCCACCTAATAAGAGGATCCTTTTTCATTAGTCTTTAGTACTGTAATAAAAAAAAAATCACAATAATGTCATAAATAAACAGGYTTGAAATAATTAATTACGTTTCACTATTTAAAAGGGAGAAATTAAAAATTAATTTGAAATAATGAAGTTATGGGTGAAAAAAAAAAACTGACAATACATCCTAGTACCAGCTGACCTTCCCCATCCCTACAATGAAAAAGGAAAGAGGTTTTAACTAGGATGCAGCTAATGACGTTAATTGTGTTTCCAACACATACCTTAAGAGGAAAAAGTAAAGTTTGGTCAGGATTAATAGGCGAACCAATCAGTCCCAACGAGTTAGCTGAAATTAAAGTGTACACTATAAAACATTCAGTAAATCAAGTCTGCAGCAAAATCATGCTGGCATAAATTATTGTGCCTTAGGAGCTGTGTTAACATTTCCCTTGTGGTTGATAAAGTCTTCTGCAGCAGAGCACTTGGGAGCTGCATCCCTTTTCCATCCCACTGTTCCAGCAACGGCTTGCAGATCAATGCTTCAATTTATTCTCTAAAAGCTCACTAGAAATACACGAAACCCACATATTCACTTATCTCCCCTGAACCAAAAGGCATTTATCTCTCTTGCTTCGCCTGTCATAAAACCCAACCATTGTTTAAAATTATTTTTAAAAGCTCTAAAAATTACCCCTCTCGCCTATGCATGAAAGGCTGGCAGACTTCACCTCGCCAAAGCTGCCTTTGGTTTTCAGCAGGGCCTAACACTCCAGGTAAAGAGAATCAGAGTTAGTTATTCACAGCCTTGCAGCTCGTTCCCCTCCTTTGCCATTGCCATTCTTCCACCATGCGCTCCCCAGGATTAATCCGTATTCTGGAGCACGAGTTCCCCGCTTCCAAGAACAAATTCTTACGGAGACAAGTTCGAAACAGCCACAAATGAGGTCATGAAAAGCAATTTTGCTGGCTATATAACTGACTGCTGCTTGCACAGATCAATCTTAAGACATATCCCACTAACGGAGCTCGGATTCRTTCAGGATCCTTCTCTTGTTTTCCTGACTTTCCATGTTGGTGCAGATGGGTTCCAGACTGAACACGCATTCCACCTTGCTGTAACGTATGAAGTGTAGGGTTTGTGCAAGTCTACCGTGCTTTAAACAACTATTTAGACTGTGGTCAAATGGCTCTGTACCAATAGCAACCCTTAAGTGATCCCTTTGAGCAGGATAAAGCCGTAAATAGGGACGGGACGGGAGGGTGGCAATGCAGAATAGGTATCTCGCTACCGAACAGCCAGATTTTTCTCTCATGGTGACAGAAATTTTAGATCTAGAAAGGGCACAAATATTTACGGTTAGACTAGAGGCTATGACATTAAAACTCATTATGGTATGCTGGTGACAGCAGTTCCAAAAAAAACCAAGAATTCGAGAAGAAAAACCCAAACCTCGAAAGACAAAAAGGACACAAAGCAAAGTAACAAAAATTCTGCTTAACATCAAAAAAGCACCTTCATTCAGTTCAAACAAAGTGTTCAAATATTTGATTTTGCAAAGCACTCTCAGGAAAAGGTAATGTAATCTCCCAATTAACCTTTCACAAAGCTGCATTAATTACATTCCAGGCGTTAGCATAATTTCAGTAAGGCCAATAATGCAGTTTCATTGGCCCTGCACCCCTGCACACAGCGATTTAATGCAGTACTCACCACCTGCACACGCTGTATGAAAATGGCAATAGTTCCTTAACGCTACCTAAATCACAGAATTTCCCCCCAAACAAGGGAAAGACATTGGTAAGACACCATTGGTACCTACTCCTAGGGACCARTTCTGCCTCGGATCCACACATGCAGTTATATCTTCGAGGGAAGCTTCTGGTCCAGACAACAGGACAAAGCAAATAAAGCAAATAAACCAGCTACCCGGCTGCCCAAGAGCAACCCGCCCTTCCAGCRCCTCTAGAAGGGGAACCTGCTTCACTGACAAGCAGAAGTGGTTTCAGATGCACGTGGTTCTTCAGCTACCAGGGACAGCAAATTCGATGTGGCTCTGAAAGGCACTTCAGGTAGAGCGGGTGTAAACTCCTGCCTGACACGCGGGCCAGAACAGGCCCCTGCTGCCCGTGCTCTTCCCTTGCAGCTCTGCGGTTTCAGCCCATCGTTAGCTTCAATACGCTGCTTTCCCCCAAAAAGCTCTGGTTTAGCCCCCTAAGCTAGCATAGGGCCTTACTAAAAAAACCAAAGGCCCCAGTAACTTCCACCTCCTCTGTGGAAGGGCCAAGAGGGTTACCTTAAATTAAGGTAATAACCTGCAGAGTGGGTCATTTCCCTCCATTTTTAATATTCTGTCAAGGTGTCATGGTACAGCTTGCTAGAATACCTTAATTCTACTAGTCCAATCTCTTGCTTAATAGATRAACACAGACAAATTAACATAGACAGTGCCCTTACAGACTGCTGGGCCACTGTGCCCTTTGAGAGAGACGGCAAATTCCTATTTCGGGTAGAGGTCACATGAAAAAGGTTTTGTTTGATGTAAAGGCTTCCTCACATAGTTGCTCAGAAATAGCCTGTCCAACCACTCAGCTAAGTTGTGATAAAAAAAAAAACACACACCCTTATCACTTATCACAAAAAGCACCTTCATATCTGCAACTGCTCACCCCTATGCAACTCAGTTTGAAATGTATTAGGACTAATTTTACCATGTAGCTGATTCTATTCACACAGGTGATCCACTGTTTTCAATCAAGTATTGTTCCCATCAGTATTTTACATAAATGTAACGGATTTACCCATTTCATTGCTCTCCCACCCCCAGCCCCCAAAATCCCACAACTGCTCAAGTACGAAATTACTAATAGCCATATTGTGAAACAAAAACACTATTTAAAAAACAGATGGATGACAGTCCAACAGCTTGCTGGATTCCAAATGATTCTACAGCGTCGCTGTCTACGTTGTAGACAGGATTTCCTTTTATTTGGAAGATGAGCAATTGTAAATCAGGTATCGGAGAGAAAGGATATAAACAATCTTTAGATGGTTTTACGTTGGGTCTACTGTTGAAGGATAAAACCATAAATAAAAAGGTACCAAGCCTTCAAAGTTCACCATTCACATGAAGCTTCTTCCATCTCTTTCTTGACCTTTTTAAAAAGCCATGTTCATTTCTAGYGGAGGAAGAGAAAATAAAAGTTCAGAGAAAATCAGCAACCATTTAGCTTTCCTAAATTATAGAAAAATATGCTCAGTTTTGACTTGGAGAAAATCATAAACTCAAACCAGAAGTCTCTGATCTGTGCTTACAAACTGTGCATTATTTTGGTAGTATATTTAGGATATAAACTTGGAAGAAAATTGCTGCACTGAGAACATATGAAGCACACTTACAGTTACCCAATTAGCTCCTAAGTGGATTCAGATTGACAAAGTTTCGTTTGGGCTAATTTCTTCCCCACTCAGGCCCCTTCGCCAGCTCTCATCTGGGCACACACAGTCACTCCTGACCACACGTACCCGTCTCTTCATGGAAGCGCCTGGATATCTTCTCATCTGAAACTTTTCTGCTGTTGCATCAGCCCCACATTTTCATATACTCTAGCACTATCTTCTCTCATTCTGAAATGAGATAATTATTTGCAGAGGAAACAGTCCAGGCAGAGAAAAAAAACAAGCACATGCACACAAAATAACTCAGTGACAATTTATTTCACTCAAATTTAATTAATACATTTCAAACTTGCAATAAAAACCAACTTACTCTGGACATGTTGGGGTCGGGGTACAGGGTGGAAGAGGGCTCTGATCCCCACTTGTCTGGTCCGATAAAGAATATTTAATGTTTGTGTATTCGTGACCTTTTCTCTTACTCTTCTGTGAAGTAAAACACAATTAGAACCAGGTTTTGAACTGCTAATGAAAACAGTAATTGGAGCAGCACAGAAATCACGCATACAACTAGCCATGTTTACTTGTCTTTAGAAAGAGATGCTTGTCTATCAACACAGGAGATTTCAATTCTGTAGATACAGCACAGCATGGAGAGAACCTGAACGCTGGCGTTAGCCATTTGTTGCACGACCTGGAAAGCCTTATTTCGCAGTATTTCCCTTTCCATGACCATCTCCAGCAGGATGCACCAGTATCATGAACCTGCACTCACGTACAAATTTCATCCTACTTGGCAGGAGAAACCACRCTTCATTCTTTAGTAGACAGCAGCAGCCAGTGGGCCTCCCACTGACCTTATTTCCAGCTTGGAGATGTTGCCAAATGAGTAACAACACTGTTTGCAAGATCTCTAATAAAATACCATCTTAGCCCATTAGGTTTGATATAAAAAGAACCCAAGCTGTTATTTGTATTCCATAACATATGCCACAAGCTGCAGCCAATTGTGTTGGCATTTGTCTAAAGATACGGAAGGCTCCAACGAGCAAAGCTACATCRGGACAGAAAGGGGGATACAGCTTCATTTCCAGGACAAACATTCACAACACATAACATACACYGATACCTACATATAAATCAAAGCCTTGCTTTAAAATTCTATAGCATATCTTTTTCTAAATGCTCAAACAAGTACTAAATCAACTGACCTGAGTCAATCTCACCACAGAGGTTGTCAGAGCCTCCTAGGAGATCTGGCTGCTGAGTTCCCATTAAGAAAGCTCTGCATAGCAATGTGGGCTGAGGCTTTGCAAGATGGTCTTCTGAGACTTCATCAAAACTTGTTCACCTTGTTCTATTATTTAAAGAACTTCTCCCCCTTTCAGCCTCCCACTTACTCCTGACAAATCACTTTCAAACAGACCACCAGTCCAGATCAATAACCTGGAAGGCTAAAGCTAAAAAACACAAGATTTAAACAGAATACAAAGGTTCAAACTGTGCTGCATTCTACAGAGTTTAGGCACGAGCCTCTCACCTAGCAACAACTGCCAATAATATTCTGAAGCCCAAAACCAGAGCTTGATCTTTTGAAATTGGAAGACGAATTACAGTTGCTGCTAGAAATGCTATAAATGCAGTTAAAGATCAATTTTAAAAAATCAGTTTTATTACTTAAAAGATGGCTGAAGTAGACAGYCTAAGAGAAAGATTTCTAGCTTCTTTTCCTCCAACTTAACTCACTGTAATTATTCTAATTCAAAATAATAGAAGGGTGGTAAAAATTACTAAATGTAAAAACATACACATTTCAAGGAAAAAATAACTGAGTGTGGTTATTTCTCACTCCAGGGAGTAGAGGCAGCTATTGCCCTCATCGGGGCACCCAATGCACAGCAACAGGCCTCGTTAGCAGGACTCTTTCCTCCTCAGAGCTGGGCTGTGTTCAGGCAAATCGAAAAGCAGGAAGGGTTCAACAGAAWCAACTCCACACTCTTTCCCATAGATGGGCCTTAATTTACCTGACCAGTTTTGTGCAGCTTCCAGGTTTTATCACCTGCAACCACATTACAGCGTGGAGAATGAGGTTCCAGTAGGCAAGAGTTTTAAGAAACAGTTTCATCCCCAAACAAATTATATTTTGTGGACTAGATGAGATTCAAGTTTCCACCCGCCCCCCGCCTTTCCCTCACAGTATTTTGCTATTCTGCTCATCTCTATTTTTTTTTTTTTTCTGCTCTCTCAAAGCATGTTCTGGAACACTTCCAACCCACCAGGTATATATTTACTTATTTATTTTCCCAAGAATTAGTTCCTATGGCCACTGCCAAAGTTGGTTTTGTCTCAAGAGCACTTTTTTAATCCCGTGGTTGCCACTACTCACCTGCAGTGAGGCTGCCCTCACTACAGGTCAAGATCTCTTAAGGCAAAGCAACGTCCTTTCCAGTTTAAGGAAATTTTATACTTCCTTCTCCTGTGCTAGTAGTATAATAGGGGATGAAATGCAATTAAATTGAGCCTGACGACTGTAACAGAACGAAACCGCTTCACTCGGTATCAAAACACTACGCAAAACATTACAGCAATCAAGAGCCAGCTACTCAGATAAATAACAGCAGCTGAAAGACCAGATTTGAGAGCAGAGGACACGAGGCTTGCACTGCAGAGCTACACACACAGACAGGAGGAAACTCTAGGCAGAGAGACAGACAACAAAGCAGGAAAAGAGAAAACACGAAGGATTTCGTGTTCTCCACTGTGTCTAATCAGCACCAGAGCACAAAGCACCTGTCTAGGGAGAAGACGAAAAATCTATCTTCTCTACTAAATGCTGCATCTATCACACAGGCAAATATAAAACAAGCTCTGCGAGCGAAGCCAGAAGCCACACAAGAGAGCCAAGCCCAAGCTGACACAAGCGGTCTAAGCGGGGATTTCATCTCAGCCTGGCACTTGGCTAACCMCGGGCACGCAGCTCCCCACATCTGCCTGACCAGTCTTGCAGGTTTATCCCCTTTCGAGCAGCAAGGCAACCCCAGAAGGGAAGATACTGAAATTTCAAAACAAAAAAGATAAGAATCCAGAAGACTAAAAGTTGGGGCAGAATGAAAAAGAACAGCAGGCAGACAGTTCTTTATCACAATATTAGGTAATTTTTGCAGATTACAGCGCTTCCAGAGGGTATACCCACAGACCCACTTCACTGCTCCTGTTTTCACCACCCATTCCAAAACCTTCCCTCAGTTTACTGCACCAAGTCTCTCCTCTAACTGCTCTTTCCCTTTGATACTGCATTGCAGGATCACCACACTCCTTGATAATCTTTCAGCCCAAGATACCTACCTTTCCACAGCTAGCACAATTTTAGACTCTAAAAATAGATATTACAGTGACCAATTTAGATTGCCAAATGAATCCTGCTTATATCAGATTGAATTTGATTATTATACGTTARAAATATATTTGACACATTTGAAACCTCTTTAAAACTCAGAGCAAAGGCTTCTGCATCAATTCACAGGGTCTTGTTTATTCTTCCYGCTCAGAAACCCAGACATTACTAAAGGACCTTTGAAACCTGGACACAGGGGCTGCAGGAAGGACAGGATCCCACACACCAAATCACTGTCATGCAAGGTAGAGCTGCTGCAGCTGCAGTCATGGAAAAGCTTCTCATACTAACGATTTTGCCACTGGTCAAACACACTGTTCTTTGAGAGTTTTCTAATCCCATATGGAAACATAGGTTCACTCATCTGAAAACAAYCTACAAGCCAGCTGCAGAACCAGCCTTTTCATGATGTTCTGCATCTCCAGTCAGCAGTCATGCCTCCAAAAGACACAGGAAGCAAAAGAACTATTCTCCTTCCCACCCCAATTGTATGTTCCTATGAACATTTCATGTTTAGGACAGATATACCTGCTCCTCTTCAATTCTGCGCTGTAACGTTTCAATGTAGTGCTGCACTGCCATGTAGATAAACCTGTACTGTGCTTCTGTTTGAACCATTCCTGATCGCTGCGACCTCACCATCTGAATGGTCTTTGGAACATCAATGTCACAGTCCACACCTACAAAGCATCATTAAGAGCAGCAGAATAAGTTTTCTCTTTAGAGGAAAGATTAGTCTCATCTAGTGCAGYGGATTGTCATCGCAGTGCTGGGGAACCCTACCTTTTTCTCTGATTATGTCAATAAGAATATCAATCACAATGAAAGTCCCGGTTCGTCCGATTCCAGCACTGTAGAAAGAGAAGAGGAGGGGAAAACCACAAGTTGCTCTTTCTGAACAGGCATGAAATTCTAGTCCAAGCAGACATCCAATATTAAGACATATCCTACTTTCAAATTACAGCCCAAGTGTCATCCCAGATGAGTTCGCATGCACCAAAGCAAGTACAGACCTATGCAACTTGCATGGAAGAAAGAAGTCATGGCAGCATTTTCTGTACATGACAGTTTATTAACATTCCYGAAGCAAAGAACTACAAAGTGAACTCTGATACTTCCTTGCCTTATGAAAAGTATCTCATCTATATGCTGAGACTGAGTGATGTCTCACTTGCAGGAGGTGGGATGGGAGACAAATTCCCATGATCCTGTACCTGGAATATATTTAGACAAGACTGACACCACCTCTCATACAGCCTCAGAAATTTGTATTCCTACCAACATGAATGCACTGGAAGACAGATTGCTTAAAAGGTAACCATTTGACACTTATCTAAAATGCAACATTTCCCAAAATGTACAGAGCAAGAAGAGCTTGATAGATGAAAACTCAAGTAGCCTAAGGGTAAAGTTGCTTCCTTTTTAACTTTTTAGCTTTTTTCTCTCAYACACAGAAAAGACACCCAACAGAATCCCGCAGAAGGAGACTGCACACTGCAGCACTGTACCTGCAGTGGACCACAACTGGCCCTGCATCAGAAATGCTCTCCTGCTTGTGATGCACCTCTTCTAGAAAGTCTAGCACGCCACCGGGGTCACTTGGCACTCCATGATCAGGCCAGGTTCGGAAGTGATACTGCCAGACCGTTCTCTCTGTGTTTCCCTAGAAGGAAGATGCCAACACGTGGAAGAATGCAAGCCTTCACCTCAAAACTCATGAGAATAACCTCTAAAATATCTCCCTGGCTTTTTCTTCCACAGTTATTTTTGCACTCTCATCCAAAGCATTCCTTACCACATTTGTTTGCCAATTCCTTCCTCTTTCAACTCCTTTACTTAAAAGCTCTTTACTTTACTTATACAAACAGTTTAGTTTTCACTTAACATATTCATAAGTCAAAGAAGCTTCACACACTTGACTACTATTCTTTTCCTTACCACAGCACCACAGTTTAAGCCCAGCTTTACAGGCCATTGGTTGTATTACCGGCAAGAGTTCCGGCAAGAAATGGTGCAGTTTCAGGGGAAGCAAACACAGCAGCAAACAGGACTGGAGAACAATGAAGGCCCCTACATCAGAGGCCTTATGAACCAAAGGTGCCTTGCTTAATAATAATACAAGGCATTCAAACATCTCCTTGAAAGGAAATCAGTAAAGCCTCAGCTACATTGAAATGTGACCTGCACTTAAGAGAAGTATCATCTCTCTTCCAGATTTCCTGAAAGCTCTGCAGACATGCATCATCTTCTACCAAAAGGTGCTTAAATACATGAATTTCCAATTATGCCAGAGACAAAACATATGGAACTAAACCAAGAACTAAAAAAAGGCAGGGCTCAAGTGACTTTATTGATTCCAAGTAAACTGTCAACATCTGCCATTTATTCTTGGTTTGCAACCTGAATCAAAAGGATGAAGCCACCACCATACTTACTTGCCCAACCTTGGAGAGCTTGAGTTCTCGTAGCGTGTAATCATGTGCTGCGCTCTCCTTAACATTCCTAACACGCATAACRCCGTACTCCTTTAGGGAATATTCATCAGGCCAGTACTTGACACATTTACTCTGCAAGATTCAAAAGACAGAAAGGATCAACAAGGGGCAAGGCTGGTTCATGAATTGGCTAACGCACAAATCTGAGCTTTTCAGTTCTGCTTAGGTAGAGGACAGTTACTAGCACCCACTGGCCAGCTAARTGACAATGTAGAGCACATTTAGGGGCAAGTTTTTTTCCCCTCAATGCAAATGCACACGCCCACGCTGCAGGATTTGAGGCAAAAAAAGGTACAGGCAATCTCTCCTCTTAGCAGCTTTCATGACAGTCTTAATACCTGCTTATCCTCAATAGTTTCAAAAATATAGGTCTAGAATACAGGCACTTATATCCCCATCAAACACCGATTTCAAAACAGCGAGAATTTCCAGGGGAATGCAACAGCCTTGCAGACTGCTCTATAATCAGCAYCTAACAGATTGCAGGATAGACACAAGTCAAAGGCATAAACCATTTTTAGCATACACGAAACCTGAGGGCTTGTCATTCAGAACTGGAGCAAAAGGGGCTAACCTAGCTCTCCAGTTCAGCCAAYGTGCAAGACAGAATTGCTCCCTGTGGGGAGAATGAAGCCTAATGCATCCGTAGCTTTAGTAGCTTAGAGCTTTTTGTGTGCTACTTCTCTCTGAAGATTATTTTTGGCCAGGGATATATTACGCACACCAGAGAGCAGGATCACTGCTTTCATTTGGTTCCCGTGAAAGCTTGGGAAAGAGCAAATCCTGTTAACCTCCGACTGCAATGCCAGTCCACACATTATCTGGACAAGAAGCTCCAGCGGGTTTGTGGGCAGGGCTGCTAGCAACTGCAAATCCAGACCCAACATCAAGGGCTGTGCAGAAACCTCTCTCACAAATATGCACGAGTAGCTGCAAATATGAAAAGACTGCAACAAGGAAGCTTCTTCTGCAGCAGAAGACGATTCAAAATAAGGCTTGAACACATGCTTTCCAGCCTGCTTAGGCAATACTATGCTTTTTTTTTTTTGGTTGCTTTTGCCCTCTTTCCCTACTTTTCCAAAAGGGTACGAGCTAAACTCAAAACGTTAAGCTTAGTGTACATCAATACAGCTCGCAGTTTCAACGCAGAACTCTGAACACAAGAGCAGGGGTGCTCTAAATAAATCTCAACAGTAACACGCAACGTTAAAACCAGCATTAGCCTGATAGAGAGGATGCAGATAGGATCAGCTCAGTGGACTGCTTCCAAAACACCATTAKTTTAATTTGTAAGTATTTTTTCAGTTCTCTACAGAGCACTCTAAAGCGAGTGCAGAGTTCTAGGCAGCTCTGTGTCGTTTCAGAGTTCCTCACTTCCTTAGGCAATGTGTTCATGAAGTCATCTCGGATCCAGAGCTTTCTCTCCTTCCCGCAGATCTGAAAGCACTTTGGTCCGAGATAAAAAAGCTGTTATTTTATACCAGGAGTGGGACATACCAAGTCAACCCCTCCAAAGTAAAGCCCGAATTTCTCTTCTTCTCACAGAAAGATCTAAGGAGGACACTGGGAAAGGGGGAGCTTCTCCTTCCTTCAGTGTATTCTCAGGAAGCAGAATCAAGTATTTCAAAGGTCCTTTCATAAAATACAACTAATGGACACAAATCTATTACCTCCAGAAAACCCACAAAACAGAGTCCATGGCTTTATAAACACCAGTAATAGCAGTTTTGATAACCATGTGAGGAATAGAAGCCAATAAAAATCTAATCGTCATCTTCTGCACACATAAAAACCAAAACAAAAAATCCATATTCCAAATCAAAATAAGACTGTAGAATACATAAATATACACAAGGGGAAAGTCACCAGTGCCAGAATATCAGTATTCAACTATTTTCTGCCATTCAATTTTCTTTTGCCATACGCAYAGAACCCAGAAACAGAACAGCCTCACATTTGCCAGAGAACAGTGAATAAGCAAGATCTCCGTGCTTAAAAGGTAAGAGAGGTTCTTGGAATACATCACTGCAGGAAAATTTCCTCCTTCAAAGCAGTGAATATTACCAGAGCAGCTCACAAGGGGCTCACAGATCACTGAGGCTGAACAAACAGCTGTGTTCATGCAGAACAAGGCAGTTAGAGGCAAAGGACCTGATTTTAGGAATAAAAGTGCTAAATCACGCCTGCTTGAGGGATTCTCTACCAGATGCAGTTACAGCCCAGATCACTAGCTCAACACATAAGAATGTTAATAAAAATCAAGCAGGGAAAGTAAAGTCAGAAGGGAGAATTGCATTCTAGCAGAGCCCAGTAAATGTCATTTGAATGCAGTGATTCTGAGGCAACAAATTTCATATTATTTTGTAATATTTAGGAATACTCTCTAAATTTGTTCTTATGGTAATAAAACTTGACAATTTTACTTTTCATAATAGTCTATAAAACCTTGGCAAGCTAAAAATAAATAACAAAATTCCATGTTTCTGTGAAAAAATAAACTCCTTAAAGCATGCAGAATGCCTCTGTGAATACACCTGCCTTTTCACAGGCTCATTCACTAGATAACTTTGCATTCACATTCATACACCAAAATTCAGTGAGTAAAACCAATGACACGAGAGAAGTGCATCCTCCATTCCCACATATACAAGCAGAGGAGGACACTCAGCACCTTCATTCTGGGTCTCTGGAGAAATCACCATATTTTCAACTTCCAGCTTGCAAGTTAGGATGACTTAGTTGCGCTGACTTGCACTCAAGTGCATGACTTTCCCCAAGGGCAATTTAAAGTTGCTTTTACCTTTCCTCTTTCAACTTCTTTTGTTGTCATAACAATAACTCGAGAATTTTCCTGGAACACCATTCTCCAAAAATCATTCACTGTATTCTGTAGGCAGCCTTGAGTAGCAATGTAGCTTTTTTTTGGCTTTGAGTTGTTGCACTTTGTTTCAAATTCAGGCTAGAGAGAAAACACAATTTAACAAAGAATGACAAACGAGACTTCTAAAGAGTAACTCGGAATCAGGTGAGCACGATAAAGAATAGATRCAGGTTATGCCAATAAGATACTGTTAGGTAGCAGTATACTTACCATAATAATATTAGCATTGATATAGTCTGAAACTGGTTCGTTTGGATCACCATCATGTAGAACAACTCTGGTATGATCAACTAGAAGAGTACATACAATATGTTAAGCAGTTGTATCCTACATTTGTAAACACATATCTATTTTTAAATATCCACCAGAGAGGTAATTTCCTATCATTACCATAAAAGCAAATTGTCAAACAAGTGGTCAGAATACTCAACCATTCCTTTCTTCGAGGCAAGCATCCAGTTCTTAAGAAACTGGATCACAGTATCTAAATCTTTATTCATCTTAGTTAGTACTTCATTAGGGTATGGACAGTCAAGCACTAGGTCAATAGAAGTGGGTTTATAAAGTCTGCTGGATTCATTTCATGCAGTTTGTACCATAAATTAATCCTCTTAAATTTAAGCATTCCAATTGCTGAATAACAGTTCAGGAACGTGACATCATTATATGATAGCTGAAGATAAACACAATATTAGGCAATCAAAATATCTCCATCTACAAAGACCACATATTGATATACAAATTGGAAATGGTATAGACTAATTTGACAACATAAAACATCATTAAAGAAACAAAACAGAGCATACTGCCGCTTAATTAACATCATATTTACCAGCATCAGAAAATAAAGCTTAGAAAAAGCATAAAGAGCCTATGAGCTCTACATTATAATCAAAAAAGTAGTACTTACAGGGTAAAATGTTTTTGTATCTATTTTTGTTCTTGTTCTCTTGTCTCTGACCTTCTTTGCGACTATATAGAAGTTTACATTCTTGCTGTTGTAAAGTCTAGATGAAAACAGCACAAATAACTGATTTCATTAAAAACAGCACCACATCAGTAAAAAAGAGCATACAGCCTCTTTCACCATCACTTCTGCCATCCTTTCTCACAGAAAAGTTGACACTTGATTATAACACCCATCAGTGATCTGGGAGAGAGATCTTGTTTTTTCCATTTGAATTCAACAGAGCATTGCTATACCCTTCATACTCCTAATTAACTTGCCAAACRAAGGAAGCCAAGTTCTGTCACACTCTTACTACACGCAGAGCTGCTATAAAGCTGGCTTACCAGGGAGGAGAGGCCAATGGACTTGGGAACAGAATTTCACTTTGTTCAGCAATAAGCTTCCTACCTAACTCTAGTCAAATCAAGAAGTGCGCGTGGGAATGCTATTGYATTGCCAGAGGCATAGACAACATAAAAAATGCCCCAAGCGTTGCAAAAATAAGGCAAAAATTTTGCCCTATTTCTGAGGGCAAAAATAAGGAATCCCATCCACACACACCACTTCCTAGATTCTTCTATCACTACAAGGCCATTTCACCAAACTAGCACCTGTTTTTGCCCAGATTTTCCTTTCCTAGCCCAAGAATGCTGGGGATGTTTAAGCTTGCTCAGGTAACTGCAAACAGGGTTAGCCAACATAAATCACTCCAATACAGAAACAAGAAAACCTGCATGGAGGTTCCTCCCGTTGACAAGGCTGTAACTTTTGGGTCCAATTCACTATTAATGTGACAGGGACAACACCAAATCCACACTTCACAGCAGTGTCGCTTGGTAGCAAATCTCCCCATTGGCAACCCAGCCAGAGGGACCACAAACCAGATACCTTTGTTTTCTAAAAAGAACATCCTGAGACTCAGGGAGCTGCTCCTTTTGCCATTACAACCATTTATGCTCTTTCAGAGGTCACTTTTGCTTTAAAGCTTAGGCATGTCAGGCACATTCGTTCACGTCTATCTTGGTCTCCTTTATCGTTACTGACTCACATAGTGACCTTGGACAACTAGGATCCTTCTACACACAGAAAAAGAACACAGACTCCGGAGAGGAGAAGCCAGACACAGAAGAGTTGAGAGGTCTCATGTCCATGAAGCAAAGGCAAACGTTCCCACGAGCACTGCCTCTACTGCCAGCCATGAGTGAAACACCGTTGCGCAGTAGAGCTTATTTCTTGCCTCCTGCCACTTTGCAAAAGAGTTTTTCTTTTAATTTTAGATGTTTGGCTAAGCCAGTATTTACTGAGAACCTTCACATAAATTATCAAAATGTGACACTTTGAGGTCTTGGTCAAAYGAAGCACAAAGCAAGAGAACTGAAAGCTAAGCTTTGTTTGCAGGTTATAAAATAGAAAGAAGTGTGTGGAAACAGTAGCTTCAGACATCTTCACTTCATACAGTTTATTATTGCTTTGAGCATCCCCGAAGAGATATCCATGAGCAGCAGCAACTTGTAACAAGTCCATTAAAAGATATACATAATGCAACAATAAATCTGAATCATGGTTCTGTATTTTACTACACTATTGAAGCATTAAACTCACCAAACAGCCATTTTTCAGAAGCAAAAAACATTACAGAAGACTGCCAACATTTCTGCCTCGTGGCTCATAGGGCAAGAGGCATATCCTTAAATRTGCCTTAAGACAAGTAATTTATAACTGCTGTCTGGACAGTGAAACCATAAACAACACAAGCAGTTTCACAGACAATCCAGAGTTTGCCTCCATGCATCCTCTCGAGACCAACAGCCACTGCTTAACTTGAGGTGAATAAAAAAAATAATCCAGGACATTAAAACTGTTACGAGGTTGCTTTATTCCCCCCCCAAAATAGCACATCATAAATTACAGATTAGTGCTGTCCTCCCTCCCTAACAGTAGTGAGAAGAAAAGTGGGATGCCTTACAGCAAGAATGTTTCATGTCCTACAAATGCTTTCTTTGTATGACTTTGGACTTGCTACCAAACACTTCTAAGAGGTTACAGGACAGGAAAACACCTTGCTTCTGAGGAGCAGCTGTCACATTCATAACAAGGCAATTTTATTCCACAAAAACCATAGGACAGAAAAGAAATCCTGAGAGTCAAGCAGTAGTTCGGTCATTTTTTTAAGAATCAAGCATCCATTCCTAAAGGCATCACACACAGCACGGCTTCCCTCAAGAAAAATCATCGCTTCCCAGAACCTCTTAGTGAGCCAGCCCCAATAACTAGGGCACGGCAACTGGGAACTCTTCCCTCTTACGCCCTCTGAGTAACAGTGAGGTCTGCACGGAGTCTCCAGGGAAGGCTGCTAACAGACGCTTGGCTAACCTGCAAAATCACTTTCATTGCAATGCTCAGGCTAAAGCGTTCAGGAATCACAGGCACAATCTAGATTAAACACCAGGATATGAAGCACASCACTGACCAGAGTCTCCAGAAAAGGCAGTTCAACCTCAAATGCAAGTTTTAGCCATTCGAGCAGGTGAGGCTGACCCTTCGGGCCTCGTACCAAGGTTCACATATTGCAAGAGAGGAGATTCCAGGGCTGAGGCCACCTAACCTCTAAGAGGGGCTCACAAGCAACACAYGAGACCTGCCCCACACAAGACCCAGCACTCTGCTGCCAGGGAGGTTTCACAAACAGAGCCCTAAGTCCTTAGGGACAAGCACAGCAGCCTCTGCTGTCTTGTTTTCCGTCTCCTCTTGGAATTCTGGCTGCTCAGCAGACCTGGCCCGGTCTTCACAAGCCTAACCAGCCATACACGACTCAAGTCACCCATGTTAGCTCCCCGATACAATTCATACCATGCCAGCTGAGAGGAAGCCAGCTCCTACCACTCTGAAGTGATGGGGTTAAGGTGCTGTCTGTGATTTACCAGCTGTGTTTATCTTGGGCTTTCCTGCTCCTTCTTCACTGCAGAAGGGTGTCCTAGTTATTTCAGGCTTTGAAGGCAGTAGATTAGGAGAACAAACTGTCTCAAAGAACAGGAAGTAGAACTTCCATTTTACGTCTTTCCACTTCCCCATCACCCCACCTTGTACTGCATCCACATTTGTACAGAAATTTGATACCTTGCTTTTTATGGCTTTATTTCCCCCAAAACACCCCTTCCAAAAAAGTCAAAGCAGACTGGAGAGTGTTTGACCAGAAGAAATTGTGCTCGACCAGAAGAGAACTTCTTTGGACTGTCGCTTTGCAAAAGCGACATCTCTGACTATTCAAGTAGCTTCTTAAAAACTGCATTACAGAGCCCAAAGCAGCCTCTTTACAAGGGAGTTTAGATCACAGGACTTCCCGATTTCCTGTTGCCATCTGCTGGTGGAGTTCCACATTCTGCTATGGATTTTTTGTGTGTCTTAAATATAATAGGCCAGTTAATATCACTTCAAAAGTTGCTCAGTATGATCATCATTCACATGCAGCTGTTGAGTCACTCCAATTGTCAGGCCCCCAGTATAGACTCAAGCAGCTTGGAATCTGTTATGCCAGGAGCGATTACATTTAGGTATGGAATGAACAGCCCCTGAACAACCTGGACAAACAGGCAAACACTTCAAACCATTCAGTTAAGGGGCACGAAAGAAGAACTGGTAGATTTAACGTGACCTGCACTTGACACAAAGAGGACAACGATAGGGATCTGAAGTAATGGAGGGGGAAGACACTATTGGGAAGGCAGTAACAAAACTAGCTTTTTAGTTGTGCCAAAGTTCAGCAGTATAATACTTGAAATGTAAGGAAGTACCTCAAATTCTTCCCAGAAGCCCTGCTTGACTTTATCCGTAGTCTCTGCTAGCTTGCTTAGCTCCCGCACTCGGCTTTCGATCTCTGCAGCATTAATACGGGTGGTGTTCAAAGGCTGAGAAAGGCACAGAACATCAAACAATGCTATATCAGTGACTACAGCTTAACACATTGTACATCTTTATATTAAGTACATATTATATTTTATATAGGTAACGCAAATAGAATTTTAGGATCCAGATATCTATCTGGTCTTCAATATCTTATAGATCAAGTAAAGAGGGGGAAGGGAGAAGGGAACAACAGCTTTTATCTAAAGCCTCACAGCTGTCCTTCAGTGCACTAAGTTATCTCATCTCTGGACTACTCTTGCAATCCTTACGGGCCATGATGAAGTCAAGAGAAGGTCTATAGACATCAGAAACACAGAAACATATCCCTTGCAAGTAGCTATGAATCTGTACCAGTTTAGATTTAATTGATTTTGTCATCCAGTTTCACAAATTTACTACTACTTTTTTCAATCAAGAAAAAGATGTCTTATAGAACACATGGAAAACACTGCCCTTCCATAACAGTACGTGCTAAGGGTAACAAAATTTAGTGACATTTTCTCCATTCACTCACCTGTTTGAGTTGCAATACTGTGCCCAAAGTTTCCACCATGGGATTTTTCTTATAATGTTCCACCAGATCTGTCAGAGAGTCAAATTTCTCTCCTCCACCGACATCATATTTTAGCTCCTTGAAAGACAGATGCTCAGTCATCAAAATAAATGCACTTTTGAAGAAGCCTACGCTAATATTATCGAGCTATGAAATTCATTTTAAAGAATTTTTCTCATGTACGTAGAGAAATCTAGAAGGCCCTTCCACTACGAGATGGTAGAATGTTAATGAAAAGATAACAGGAAACATGTGCACAGGCTCACTCACTGAGGTGACAAACAGGACTGCCCTCCATAATGAGAGCCACTTTATCTGCCTCTTGAGAGCTGCCTCCTTCTGAAATAACGTTTAGTCAGCTCAAGCAGACTACCTGGGCTGCAAGATCAGAATTCAGAAACTAACTTGCGAAACACAGCCAAATTCCTAAAACAGTCAATCACTAGGGGCCTGAAAGACACATGTAGAATTGCACAGATTTGGTAAGACAGACTACATGACTTCTTTAAAGTCCCTTCTACACCCACATTACTTAAAACAGTTTCTATCTCAATGCCCCCACTTTCCTAGAACTAATTTAATAATTTCTACCAGTGACAGCTTCTAAAGCCTTAGGTAGCAATTTCTATCTCTAAGTTTCTCTATTATTGCAATATCTTTTGCCCTAAAAGGAAAAAACATTTGCAGATTTTGTTAAATAACAGCAAAATCTCTGCACGTATGACAATCAGAAAACTGTAATGGAATAGTACTTAAATGGAGAACTAAGCCCTATTAAATTCAAGCTTTTGATTTAAAATGTTCCTTGGATTAAATAACCAAGATATTTACTGAATGCCGCTCATCTGTCAAGAAACATTATAAAAATGACAGGACAACAGATACACTCCAGTGGGTTTCTATTTGTCCAATTACCACTATTTTTATATGATTTATCCAAAAGACAGCAACCTGCTTTGGAAGATTTATGAACATGAAGGGCTCCATCCACCGAGGATTAGAGACAGACTTCTGATGTAATCAGAGTTAAATCTATTAGAAGGTGCTTGACAGCACAGTGTAGCATGACGTGATTCTGCCAGGCAAGCGGTCAAAAACCAAACGCTAATTGAATGGTGAAACTATCAAACTATTCAGTTTGATTCTAGAGATGATATATAGCACATACAGCACTACRGGGAAAGGGGAAATGTACTGAACTCCCCGAAACCATGAGTGGTGTAGAAGAACCCTGCTGCTAAAATAAAAGCCTCACCGCCCGTAGAAGCAGGGCTATTAGAGAAGCTCCTGCTTCATCTCACCTGGCAGTGAATCATGACATGCGTCACTTTAGATTTCCCATCATTGCTCTCTCCTTTATCATCTCCCGTCCGGACAGAAAGAACAAAGTCCCCAGGGTGGCTTTGGCTCTCGCGCACGAGAAAGCTTCCATGTTTTCCTTTCTCAGTTAATAGCTTTTCAGCTTCTCTTCCAGAGAGATGCCCATGGAACCACCTTTAAATAGAAAAAGAAATAGACAGGTACCCTATTATAAAAATACAGAAAGAGCTCACAACAAGCACTTCTACAAGCACCAAAATTTGCATTTCATGCCAACTTCAAGTGAAGTTTTGGGTTGGATCCTCTACAATGCAGAAGGACTCTCCTTAAGTATGATTCTCTCTACTAAGTTTGAGTTCACACTGCAGCCTCTTCCTCAGGCAAGGCTGCAGTTTTTACTGTTGTTCCATTTCCTTTACTGAGATGTCTGCTTCCAAAAATGCTGTGGGAACTTCATATCTTGGAGACCTCACCATTTCATCATACTAGAATGGGACAGGATAATTTTAAGTCTTATTTCTTCTAAAAACATGCCTAGAAAGGCAATAATCCCCCCAAACCTCAGGTAATTATTGAAGGAAGGTAAAACATTAATTTATTAAAGGGGAAAAAAGAAATTCTTTGCTTCTACCATTTCTTGCTGCATGCACTTGCATTCAGTTCAACGCTGTCTTTTGCTAGCAGTCTTGCCAGCTACTGCTAAATAAAAGCTATTCTGAGGAGTAAAGGAAGCTGTTTTAACGTTTTTCCTTGCTTTTTCATTTCCAGGAACAAACTGACATCTACTGGTCACAAGTGTTTATTTTTGACATGTACGCCCTCAATGCATGCCAAAAGTCTCAGATTCTCCTTCTCACTCACATTTCTAAAAACAAGAGATCACAATCAAACATTTGCATTTGTCATTCACTTACACAGGCCTACTGCTGGGGAAACAAAAGCTATAAAGTTATGTCTAAAACTATACCTGGGAATTCCCTGCAGTATGTAAGGGCTTCATGAAGCACTGGAAGAACTACAAAGCATTCTCACAGTAAAAATCAAGGGAACTGTATCCTCTTTTTCACTATTATATCATGCCAGGAGAAAGGCCTCAAGACCCATTGTCTTCAAAATGATATTTATCAGTTTACTTTGAAAGTAATTTCACATGAAGCATGGAATTAGCTGTAATGTAAGATAGGGCAACATGTTCATCAAATGGAAGCAGATTGTTGTGTTAACAGTGACAACTCATGCATTTAGTAAGCAATGCATGGACACTAGGGTTTTCACTATTATTTCTCTGACCTTTCAGATGTAGGATCAGCACAGTTCAGTGGATATTTCAACTCTATAACATCTCCATTCTTTTCTTTGAGCTGCCCATGATGTTCCATATAATACTGGACTAACTCAGCCAACGTAGCAAACTTCTCTCCTCCATAGAGATCATAGTAGTCCCCTGTGTTCTGGATCTTGATGTGGGTGACAGCTCCAGTTCGTCTAATATTTGAAACAAAGACCAAAAAAAAAAAAAAAAATCACGTAAGTCAGCTTATTTCCAGGCATTTATGTCTATGTTTAGAGATGTGTTGTCTAAATTGAAGAAATAGTTGTCGCTGGTTGATGTGAACCATTTGTGCTCCTAAATTCTCTAGTATTAGTGAGAAACAACTATCTGAAAAAAGCTCTTTCTGTTAAACAAAGTCCCTTATCTCAAGGTTATCCACGCACTGTAATTTGGATCACCAATCTCATTTTTCCTTTACCTTTAACATGCTTCTTTATACTCTTTTCCTTTCCTACCTCTACACACAGCACCAGGGACAATTGCTACAAAAAGCCCATTTGGGAAGCTGAAATAGCATTGGAGTGGCCCTTAGAAACTTGCTGACTTTCCTTATAAAAACAGAGTCTGTTTTTATACAGACATTTCCTTTTGCAAGTGCCTGATCAGCAGTTCAGATCACCTCTGCTACTTTTAGCTGGCTATCAAATGGATTTTTAAAGGGCATAGAGTAATGCAATTATGAATCTGCCTCTGCTTCCCCTAATTTTCCTGGCTGTCTCCAGAATCAGAAGCCAGTACCCTCTACACTGCAATTTCCCTAGCTGTGCAAAAGTAATAAGAGAATGGACTAAGAGCTAACGGAATGCCCCAATCACAACTAGTTCATTTCCAAATGTTTCCTACAGAAGAGAATCACAGGGAGAACCTTTTCAATCTAGAGGGAGAAAACCAAAAAAGTCCCCGTCAACTTACCTAACAGAGAGCGTAAAGTCTCCTGGGTTACTTTTGCTGGGACGTGCCAGAAAACTGCCATCAACTCCTCTTGTTAACAGTAGGTTTTCTGCCTCCACCCCAGTAATATTTGGATGAAACCATCTATAGGATGTTAAAAAGAATAAATAACGGATCTTACTGTATTAAGCACTGGTTTACATGACAAGACTATACAGAACAATTCCATGGTTTTAAAAACAGGCAACACTGAGTTTTGTTCTTAATAAGACTTTCTATCTAAGCATAGACAACATGTTTTCATATTGCACTGTAGTTTCACTATCAGTAAGAGATGCTTTAAAAGTGAAAGAGCTATATCTATGCATATTTAGACTATTCAAATAATACCAATATTACATAAAAACTGAGAAACCGGCTTAAATCCAGAAAACAAGATACTCAGTCAGGAAGGAAAAAAAACCTCTCTCTGCAGAAACTCACAATCATCACTGGCACGCTAGACATTTATAAGTAAAACAAAAAAACATTCAAAATGACAATTTATAACATTTTAACAGTAAGGAATTAAACAAAACCTCATATTTTAGGGTACAAGCTGACCACCAACTGACAGAGGCCAGCAAGGACCTTCGTTTGTGGGCAACCCGTTCAGCTCCCAGTCTTCCTCGCCCTTGCCCTAAGGGACGGGGCGCTGCCTGCTGCGGACCCCAGAGCACTGCTCACTCTTCCAAGCCCCGTGCCAAGTTTTCTGATCTGACTGTACCACACTTAAATACAAACCCAGAGGAATCTCGCATCGATATTCACCACCCACAAACAACCTTCTGAAGGACTAATAGAGTGGCGTGCCAAAGGAGAGCTGTATATGGTCTACATCCAACAAGTTCAGTGTCCCCACCTTTGGCATGAACTTTTGAGGGACTTATTCTTAGCTATTCAGCTAGCACATCTGTGTTTTCTCTTATCTTTAATTTGGGGGGTTTATTCCACTCTTAAAATGCTAGAGTACTTCTACATTCTAGCTGAAAGGAGTCTTTATTGCACATGATTTTAGAGGACAACAAACTGAGGAAAAAAGAAAAAAAGGAGAAAAAAAAAAAAGAAGAATGAGAGAAAAGCTACAGTGTCCACCGCTGCCTACGCCCTAGGATAGAGGGGAATGCAGCAACTACAAACTGCCTCAGCGGCTTTGTCACGTTGGCAATTAAGTGAGGTTTGATGTTTTCAGATTTGCCGTAAATCAGACACTATGAAAGACAATGAAAAGGCACATCTGTATTTGCAGAAAGAACACATTGCTGCTCTTTGCACACCGGGCTCTTCGTTTTTCCAAGATAATGTAAACCTCAGGGCAAGTGACTCTCTGCAGCCAGCCTCAGAGCAACGAGTGGTACCTTTTTTAAAAGAAAATACATATCATTTCTGATCACTCCTAATACAGTCAGGATTTCATGGTAAATTGATACTACAGTAGCAACAAAATAGGCAAATATATATTTAAATTTAGGGCTATCRCTTTATCACTTCAATTGGTTCAGCAGTTCTTTCTATTTTGAAAACTGTTAAAGCTGATAATATTCCTAGGAAGGTCTTATCCCACCTATTCTACTTTCCATTCTGGACAGTTTTAGAGATTCCAGAGTATCTAGCAAGACACTCAAACCGGAATCTGGATTATAGATGTACCAATTCCATTTCAGTAGTAAGTGATTCCCGTTGTGAATCTTGTATTTTTCTGGTTTAGTATACTTGCACCAAGGAAACCTGCTGAATACTGCTATATCTTTAACTGAACATCAAAAAAGAAGTTAAAAAAAAAAAAAAATCAAGCCTACACAGTGTGGGGCGTGAAAAGAATATATTAAAAAAATACTTCCAAGTTGTCACAGCAAATGAGAGYTAGAATGAATCAATAAGCAACTCTACATTTATCTAATGACCATCTGAAGGTCAAAAGCTTTGATACTTTGATACAGCCTCACAGACGAGACAGCACAAGCATCAATACACAGGGTGAAGAAAATATTAAATAACATATTTAGGATAGGATTGGGATATGAYAGATTTGGGGTGAAAAAGCTCAGAGTGAATTTCTCACACTTCCATTCCCAGGTTTTTACTTCCTTTGGAAAAAAAAATGACCATGTTTTGAAAGGTTTGTAAGGGTTTTAGAAAAAGACAGGATTCAAGAGACATATTTATGTGCTGGAGTTCAAAATGTACAAACAGAGATGGGAACTTACTGGAACTGACTAAAAATTTATTATAAAACGGCATTCTATTCTATCCCTGTCCCTAACATGCCTAGAAGTAGACACACTGCACTGGTTAGAAGGAATTAAAATAACATAGAAGGAATTAAAATAATAGAAAATATATATATATTTTAACATACAAGGGGGAAGACAAAYAACTTGTACTTAAAAGATGGATTAAAGAGCTGACAGATCGTTATTAAAAAAGAAAAGATGTTCTCACCCCCGCATATGCACTCCTACTAAAGATGGCAAAAAAAGTTTAGCGTAGAACAAGAAAAGCTACATCTGGAAGACTGAGTTTATTGCACTTTATGTAACTTTCACTCTAATGGCAACTTGTACTCCTGCTCTCTCATCCTTGTATTTTTGGCTTTGAGTAGGAAGATGCATTTGTCAGCCACCCCAAATAGAAAAATGGGGGTGTTGGTGATCTCGGTTCAATGGTTCCGGAGCAGCGATCAGGATCACTTCATTTGAAGTGTTGCCATCACACGAGCGCTTTTGAAGCCCGGGAGAGACAACCCTTCCCAACGYGGAGGGGACAGCAGGGGGATGGCAGGCGCGGAGAGCAGGAACACAAGCCCTAGAGAAGACCTTCCCTCACCCTTCCTTTTATAGGGATGGAATGCATTTGGGGCTTTTTTTCCACTTTCCTTCTTCAGCCCCTGTTCTGAGCAGGTGCACAAGCTATCCCTAGCAAAGGCCATCCCAGCCAAGCAGTACAACAAGAGGGGAACACACACATGCTCTAGTTACACTCGCTGTCCTCACTACACATGAAATACTCATCAGAGAAATTCTGATCCAGGCGCTGCAACCACATGCCATTAAGTCATTTACTGTAAAGTAAGATGAAACTGCAGRAGAATAATTAATGAAATAGTGAGATATCATTTACAAGAATAAACGGATACCACTTATGTTTTTTTATTTCTCAAGAATATTATGGATGTGGTAGGAAATAGCATTGCTACAATTTAACCTTATAAAAAAAAATACATATATATGCAAATACATCTTCAATAATCAAGGAAAAAGAACACCAGAACATGTATTTTGAAAGTCATACGTTGCCAGCTTCTTTCTTTTTAATGGAGAAGACGGTATAAATAGCAGGGAGGGCAGGGAAAAGAAGAAGTCAGAAAAGCAGAGTAGATGATAAGAGAAAGTTATACCAGATTAAGGGAGTAGAAGAAAGTTCCAAGTCTGGATTTGCACTTTCCAATCACCTTTACAAGAAGGCACAAGATTAAATCAGCTCTGAGTCTTGGCTAGCAGAATATTGATGTTTGTGGAGGTGGTTTAATTAAACCTATTTATAGGTTCATCAGTTTATATTTCCAATCTTTTTCTCAGTCACCTTCACAAATTAAACTTCTGAGCAGGGCAAGAGGTTGCTCCTGCTGATGAGGAGGTAGCAAACGCTTCTACAAGGGCACCTGTGCACATATTTAAACATGCATTGGACAAGGGCTGGCAGTCAGAAAACACCTGCGCTGCAGMTCCTCCACACACCAGGAAACCTCAGCTGAGCCACAGGCAGCCACAGGCTGAAAAGCAACCTGGCGAGATTCACCATCTTGTGCAGAAGGAGAACAAACGTTGAGGAAACTACATCCTGATACGTATTAAGTGAAGACACACACCAAAGTTCAGACTATGCAAATTAGCTGAGAATATAAGCATTTTGAGCGTTTTTATCACAGCAGCCCCTCCCGACCCTAACACTTATCTCAATGTCTCCCCCTGGCCCACGCAGCTAAAGTGAAAAACGGGCTCCGAGCGGGGGGGGGGCGAGGCGGCCCCCGCGAGGGCGGGCGCTGAGGGCCCCCCTCCCAACGCCCCCCACCCTCGGGGCCCCCGCTCACCTCCGCGATGTCATTTTCCCCCGCGGCGCGGGCGGGTCGCGGGTCGCGCGGCCTCCCCGTCCAGAGCCGCCCCTCACATGGGGGGCGCCGCCACCGCGGCCTAGGGGCGCCCTGAGGGGAGCGTGAACAACGGCCGCCTCCAGGCCCCGACGGCGCACGGAGCGCCGCGCCGCCGCGTCATCAGCGCGCGCCGGCGCTCTGCGCATGYGCCTCCCGCTGCGCCCGCGCCGACTACAACTCCCGTCGGGCCGCGGGGCGGCGCGGTGACGTCAGGCGGCCGCTGGCTTTAGGGCGCGGCTGCCCGGATGTAGGGCCCTTTCCCTCCCCGGAAGGTAAGGATGGCGGAGCCGTGGCGCGCGGGCCGYGGGGTCGGACCCGGCCGCATCCGCCGCCATCCGCCCTCGGCACCGGCCCAGTGATCAYGGGGAGGCGCTGGGGGGCGCAGGGGGGAGCGATGGTGTCTGCGGCCGCTGTCTGCGGCCGGGCTGCCGGAGATGGGAGCACCGGGCCTCGGCGCACAGCAGGGCCCCGCGCGCGGCGACATCCCTCGTAGCCCAGAAATCCTCATAACACCTAAACCCTTGTAACACGCGAGCCCTCCTGGCGCCTAACCCCGCGTCTTGCTCGGCCCTACAGATGGCGGGCGAGAAGAAGGCCGGGGGTGAAAAGAAGGCCGGGGGCGAGAAGAAGGCCGGGGACAAGAAGGCGGCCGAGGCCAAGCCCGCCGAGAAGAAGGGAGGCGAGAAGAAGCTGCGCGAGAAGACGAGGAAGCCCAAGAAGCACCATGCGAGCCGCAACCCCGTGCTGGCGCGCGGCATCGGGCGCTACTCCCGCTCCGCCATGTACGCCCGGAAAGCCATGTACAAGCGCAAGTACACCGCTCCGGAGACAAAGGTGCATGGGCAAGAAATTCCACATTTGGATGATTTCTTGTCCGATAGCTTCTCTCATTTCAAAATGTCATTCGTGTTCCCTTTGCMTACAGATAGAGAAGAAGAAGAAGGAGAAGCCACCTGCAACCATCACCAAGCCAGTGGGTGGGGATAAGAATGGAGGCAGCCGTGTGGTTAAAGTCCGCAAAATGGTAAGGATGCTCCAGGGAAAAGGGGTGTTGCTAGCAGATCTTGCAGGGTGAAGTTGCTTTGATGGAAAGAAACTTGGATGTGCTTGGTTCAGGGCTGTTGCATGTGCAGTGTTTGTGTAAATCTTGCATAGATGATGCATGTCTAAGAATGTGGAGGAATGCAGCTTCTAGCTTAAATTTTGCRTTTGTGTAACTTGCAGTACTCAATATTTTGCTGAAGTACCCTAAGTTGCARAAGGTGTCTGTCAGGAAGGCCATCTTTGAGACAATGATCCACACTATAGCGAAAGTCTGCTAGATCATGGCAAAGGGACGGTGATGTATTTTGCTCCTCTCTTTCTAGCCAAGATACTACCCAACCGAGGATGTCCCTCGCAAGCTCTTGAGCCACGGCAAAAAGCCCTTCTCCCAGCACAAGAGGAAGCTGCGTGCTTCTATTACTCCAGGAACTGTCCTCATCCTTCTCACGGGCCGCCACAGGGGCAAGGTAACCCATCCTTTCTTCTCAGGTTCTTGGCAGGACTCTTGTGGTGGCTACACAAGTTTGGTGCTGAAATTTCTTTGGCTTAAGCAGAGGAAACGTGAATTTACATTTTTGTTACTGTAGCAATGAGGCCAAAAGCTTATTTTGGACAAGCTATTACAAAGAAAGCATTGAATCTTTGTTCCCAGTGATAACTGTGATGATAACACTTCAGTATTGCACTAAGTGATGTGGTCATTAATTTACTAGCCGGTCTCACCTGACACCCCTTATTTTCCTTGCTCTCTTCAGCTTCAGAGTGCTGGCTGTTCAGAGATGGAAATATAAGACGCAAGATCAGAAAGAGTAGAATGTAGTTGCAGGGCAGGTCTGATGACCCATTGTGATCCCTTTTTCTAATTTTTATCTAGTTCTTGCCTTAGGTATTCATAGAGAATGGGTGACAGTTTTGCTGTCTCAGTATACTGTAGAATACATAGGACTAGGCCGAAGGTAGGAGGATACTAATACGATTTGCTCAGCATTGTATGGTGGAGCATATAGAGAGCTGCCATCTGTCATAGGTGCTGTAACACYGGCAAAACTATGTGTAGTGAAACGCAGCGTGGCTTGTTTGTCAGTGCACGTACCAGTAAAAAGGGCTGAGTGGAGACATGGTCCCAGTTTGGTTACAGTATTGCTCATGTGTCAAAGGAGATGCAGTGTCTGGATCTGCGGACTAACGTCACGTCTCTTTTCAGCGTGTRGTCTTCTTGAAGCAGCTTGCTACTGGCCTGTTGCTTGTTACAGGTAAGAAACTTTTTTTCAGTCAAATTTGGGTTTTAGTTCAACTTTTGCTGGTGTCCGGCATATGGATGGTTTGACATTAAGTGGCCATCTGAGTATAGCCAGTCATGTTTGTGAATCTTGGAGAAGTGGGGTGGAGATGATTAAGTCTGGATATCTGAAATAGATCAGGAAGCATCTTCTGGGATTTTTTTAACTGCGAGCATCCCTGTAAAACTTGACCACCTTATGCACCAGAGAACTAAAACCTAAAAAAGTGGTGGCTGTTGCCCAAAAAAGTGACTTTTTATGTCTTTTCTCTCTTTGGCTTGTAGGACCTTTGGCTATCAACCGTGTCCCTCTGCGTAGGGCCCATCAGAAATTTGTTATTGCTACATCTACCAAGGTTGATATCAACGGAGTGAGAATTCCCAAGCATCTTACTGATGCGTACTTCAAGAAGAAGAGGCTGCGTAAGCCCAAGCACCAGGAAGGCGAGATCTTTGACACTGAAAAAGAAGTAAGGATCACAGTGATAGTTCTTTACAATGCCTTTTTATTTAAAAGGCTGGAAGGGGGAAAATTGTGTGTTAACAAATGGATGATTTAAGTGGTCTTCAGTAAAGCGAGGTAAAGCCTTTAAAATGAGTTAATATGATATCCTTTTYTGCTTCTACCTTTAGCAGAATAGCRGCTRTGGTTATTCTAGTTGGAYRTTGGTAGGTTTTGTTTGARAAACACTTTTGATATTGTCAACAGTGTGCTCCAGGCTCCAGTTACGGGCAACGGAATCCAAATGGTGGTTTCAGTCCCTTATGCCGCCTCCAGTCTCTTACCACCTTTCCTGTGTTTAAGATGAAGGCAAAGAAGCTTTCCTGAGGTGCCAAGAGTGCAGTTTTCACTGAACTGTAGGCCTATACATAAGTCTGAAGTAACTCTCTGCAAGTATTTTACCATTATTCTATRTTCTTTCTAGAAATACGAGATAACGGAGCAACGCAAGACAGACCAGAAGGCAGTGGACACACAGATCCTGGCAAGAATCAAGAAGGTTCCTCAGCTCCGTGGGTACCTGCGGTCCACATTCTGTCTCTCAAATGGAGTTTATCCTCACAAATTGGTGTTCTAATTGTTTTGAAAACACCACATTAAATTTGAGAGGAAAAACACAATTTCTAGTGTCTTCATTGCAATTCATGATGGTGTGTGTTGTGCAAATCCACATGCAAATCCCTTAAAGGATAGGAAAATTGGTGTGAAACAGTGAGGGTCTGTAGGTAACTGGCATTTTGAGTGGATGAGACTTGCATTAAGAAGTAGTGAACAAACAGCTGAATTTTTTAACTGTCAATGATTTAAAAAGGGCTTTCTATTAGGAATAGAGTATATAAAAATGCTAGATTAACCCCCTATTGGGAGGAAGTGCAGAAAAAACATTGTTCTCAGCAGTTGTGCAGGTGTAGTTCCCTGCTGTTTGTACCCTGAGCTTTCAGGTAACTTGAAGAACCAGCTCAGAGCAACAAGCAACTACTGTGTTAACTCACRAATATTTGGACATTTTAAAGAGTGAATACAGCTTTGAGATGGTTTTTCTGAATAGCTTTGATTTGTCAACCTATGGACAGCCTCGAGAAACCTTATATGGAGGCATTTCAGGAGCTATGACTTGCATTTTGAAGTGGGAACACTGGGAATACTCCCAAGTGAGCTTTGTGGATAACTTTCTAATGTTCCCAGGTTCATAATATTTGGAATATGAGACCTCTCCCAAATTTTATGTGCTTTCTGTTCTTTGGTTACCTTTGTGGGCTATAGTGCTTGTAGCTAGAAAAAACACCTGTCCCAGCAGTATCCCCTTAGAGCTAAAAGTAAGAGCGTGGTTCTTCATTCTGTRCTTTCAGAAATCCACTTAAAAATGCAGTCTGTTAAAGGCAAGCATGTTTCTATCCTGGGAGACTTGGAAAAAAAACGCTGAGTTTAGACTCACTGTCTTAAAAGCTGACAGAAAGTAAGTAGAGCATGTTAGTCCTGTATGGTTCCTTCCTTTTCTGAGGACAGTTCAGATAACTCGAAGAGGATGCCTGGGTAGTAATAGCTCTGCTCTTACAAAAACTAAGGCTTTACATATTAAGAGATTTGGCACACTTAAGCTCTTTCTTAGCCAGACTTCTGCAGGAAACTAGGCTTATATAACTGCACCATCTGTCTTCCTATTAATTTTTAGTTGAAAGTAGCCAAYGGGCTATATGACAGAGATTTCATCAAAATCATACAGGCTTCATGAAAAGCAAGAGCCAGAAAAGGGAATATTCTTTTCTTTCATTATTATCCCTGAGATATCCCTCATTGAGGGGAAAGCCTGCTGCATGTAACATAGTGGTCCTCAGAGCATCACAGGGAAAGGTTTCCTGTGCTCCAGAAYTGATAAAAACAAGATGGACACCTGCATAATACTTGGCTTGGCAGGATCTTTTTCTAGCTAATGCTGGCCTGAGTTGGAGAGATTAAAGTGTTTCTAGCACTGGTTACTGTTCCACCCTCTTCCTCTTGCTGTTCACGATGAAATGTCAATGTGGTTCAGCAGAGGGAGCCAATGAGCAGGTCTTGTCTCCACATCTAATCTGGTGCCTGCTGGTGGGGTGTGTGTCCGTGTTGCTCTCTGCTACAATCTGCTTTGTGCTCTGCAAAGATGGTTTTTTGTTT